TAGATATATAGCAAAATTGCTATCTTAGCTTTAAAAAAAAAAAACACATAATATCACCGGTTGTATTTACACATTATTGCATATCTCTTTGTAGACGATATTAGGATCGATACGGGTTTACAACACCAAATTACAATAGCAACTTGGACTGGAAATATTGAAAATATTTCTAGTATAAGATTTAGAATAAATCATACACACAATAAGGAAATTGGAAGAAATTCCTATATTGGCAAAAGAATATTACAATAGGAATTACAAATATAACTCTATATTTTTCTCTAAGGATTTTTTGCTATGCTAATGGGATGGATCGAATGAATATAGCAACCCAAGTGCCTAGAAATTTGCAAGCATTTAATGCAAGAAATAAATGCAAATCTACTCCTACAAGTAATTCTCCTTACTCAAACCTTTGCCCAAGCAATTTCGCTTACTCAAACCTTTGCCCAAGCATTTAAACCTTAGCTCAATGCTCAAACCTTTGCCAAGCATTTAAACCTTAGCTTAGTTCAATGCTCAAACCTTTGCCCAAGCATTTGCTCCTCAAAACCTTAGCCCAAATCTTAGCTCCTACATTTAACTTTATTCTTTACAGACGAGTAGTAGCAACACAATCTTGTCCATCCCTGTCTAGAGCTAACACCTTGAGGCCATCAGGATGGCTGACTCGGGAGAAAGTCACGTACAATTGACCGTAATTAAAGACCAGTTTTTTTAGCAATAACCCAACATGAGTTAGTGTTTGGCACTGGATTTTGTTGGTAGTCATGGCATATTCAAGCATCAACGAAAATTGTTTATGCTAGAACTTGAAGGACAATCTCGTATCAAAAGGAGTGATCTGAGAGACATTCGGGGAATAAGAACTTTGGTTCCTTCATGTGTCCCATTAACTATTCTTGCTTCGACAATGTGATCTGCCAATCTTGTGATGATGAGCCGCGTACTGTTACAAAGACCAAGAGCGTGGTCTATGTTCCGCAATAACATAACAGTTGCACTGGCCTTTATTGTCATTGAATGATTAGGAAGACCAGACAATCTCAAACTATTTAAGAATTTAGGAGTGTGTACTTCTGATAGATTTTCACCATCTGATTATGCCTTACACAAAGAGTCACAACTTAAATATGTTCGCTCTTCTGTAGTATTTATGTCGCACATGTATTGATTAATTTGATCAACGACATCTAAAGTCGGTGAGAAGATCGCCTGGCCTTCCAGTTGCAACTGATCAAGCATGCCATATCTTGAGATTGGGAAGGTGCTTTCCACTATAGTTGCTATGGGATCGTGTCCACACTTCAACGAAAACTGTGCAGGAATATCGATCTCAAATGAACCGCTGTTTACAACGCCTGCAATCCCATCTCCGATGTCTGCAATCCATTTTGAAAACTAATCAACCATCCGTCTATCTTCCTTTGAAGCTAAGCTCCATAGTCTCAAGTTCTTGGTGACCCTTAATACCTTGCAATTTGTCCACAGGCATGAAGAATTAATAGTGGCTCTGACAACTACTAGTCTTATTGCTTTCGAAATAACGAGTAGGATCTGTCTAAAATCGCCGCACAAAACTACTGTCTTTCCACCAAAAGTCTTTTCAGCACTACCCGCTATGGAGAACCTCAATAGATCCCTCATGATTTTGTCCAAAGCCTCAAAACAGTGTTTGTGCATCATCGGTGTTTCATCCTATATTATCAATTTGCTCCTTATTATAAGCTCAGCAAGGTCACTGTCTTGCGATATATTACACATTAATCTTCGTTCAAAGAGAGTGGTATAGCGTAGCTACTTATCTTTGACAATAACGTTCTCCACACGATCGTCTTGCCTGTTCCTCCGTAATCTCCATTGGAATAAGAACTGCTCTCAGTTGTTCATCTCTCTTGAAACATTTCTATTTCACATTCTTTGATTTGATTTCTCTAAATCTCTTGGCATCTGTCGCTTCAGCTTCTTGAACAGAGAATATATAGAAAATTTTGAATCAGTTAGAAAAATCTAACTAATTTGATTCCTTTCTTGAGACTAACTAATTTGATTCCTTTCTTGAGATTGAATCCAGACGCTTCATTTCTCCTTTGACTTTATTAAATCCAGCGTTGTGATTTAGTTTGTTCCTTTCAACACATTGAGACCATAACCGCTCATTGAAATGTAGATCCTTAGCGACTCATGAGGCAGTTCATCAATCAGCCGAATTAATCTACTTAACCTATCTATTGACTCTACTGGCTCTTCTAAGTTGTCATAACAACTAACCCAATTACAACACAGTTCGATACAACGACAATCCAAGACATGTGATACTCACATGTTTCTTTACAACCGATTCACTCCCTCTCGAAGGTGCTAGGAGTGTTGAAGTGTCAATTTTAATTTCTAAGATATAATGGATACTGAGTATATTTGAGCACTCAAATATATCATTTTCAGTGAACTTTAACAAAGGAGCACTTTGTAATTTAGATATGAAATGTTGGTAGAATATTATTTGAGAAAAAGTAGAGAGATTTCGTATGGAGAGGAAAATCAGAATTTTGAGGTGTGTTTCAAAAAATCTAATTAAAATTTTGCCCCAAACGGCCAAACAAGGTATTTATAAGAGAAGTGTAATTACTTAGCACTTTAGCACTAATGACATTAAAATTTGAATTTAAAATTCAATTCATTACTCCTAAAATGGCAAATCTAATCAAATTAATATAAGGTTACAAAGTTAATTCACAGATTAAATATTATTAGAATTAATCATAATTGATTCCAGGGTTGATCAAGATTAACTCAACAATTTCTACTCATTAAGAGTAGTAAAGCAGATACAACACGAGGTTGAGAACAGTAAGAGTGTTACAACAGGACGAGTTTCACCAAACTTGTACTGCTTCACTTAATAGAGGGTTCGCAAACATGTATTGCTACAAATACCACAAGTTTTGTAAAATCTGTGCTGCTTCCCCTAGTATCAAGAGTTTCGTAAACCACCCAAGCAGCACGAGTTTCGCAAAACACATGTTGCATGCTTCCTAGAAACACAACTTTTACCAAGTAGCACGGTTCCGTCTTTACTCTTAAACAAATACACATGATGAGAATATAATTGTGTTGTATTCAATAATAATGTCTGAGAGTACATGGAACGAATATATAGAGATGGTAGATAGAATCCTAGTCTAACACGAATAATATAGTCCTAATCTAATATGGATAATAGAGTCCTAATAGTCCTAATACTCCCCCTCAAGTACAAGCTAAGGTTGGTGAGCCAAAACATTGAGCTTGCAACGGAGTAAATTAAAACATACAGACGAAAGAGACTTAGTAAAAATATCCGCAATCTAATCTTTGGTAGAAATAAAATTGACTTGTAATTCCTTCTTCGCGACTTTATCACGAACAAAGTGGTAGTCGATCTCAATGTGCTTGGTGCGAGCATGAAACACCGGATTAGCACACAGATAAGTAGCTCCCAGATTGTCACACCAGAGTTTGGGCACAGAAGGTGGCGCAAACCCGATTTCCTTCATCACAGAGACGAGCCAAGTAACCTCTGCAGAGACATCAGTCAGTCCTTTGTATTCAGCCTCAGTTGATGAACGAGCCACAGTACGTTGTTTTCAACAAACCCATGAGACAAGATTGGTCCCCAAAAATACAGCAAAACCACTATTAGATTTGCGATCATCAGGCCGGATTGCCAGCCCAATCCGAATCAGAATATGCATGAATATCTAGAGAAGGAGAATACGTAATCTTAAGACCAAGATGTAGTGTCCCATTTACATACCGTAACACCCTCTTGAGAGCCGCCCAATCTGCAATAGAGGGAGAGTGCATGTGTTGACACAAACGATTGACTGCATATGAAAGATCAGACCGAGTTACCGTAAGATATTGCAGAGCATCTGCAAAGCTGCGATACTGAGTGGGATCAGCGTATGGTACGTACCACGGCATCAGTCTCGGCCTTCGTGGTTGAAACCGAAGTAGCCACGGGCTTGCAATCAACCATACCTGCTCGTTTTAGAATATCCTTCATGTACCGTTGTTGAGACAGAAGCATGCCATCAGACAACGGAATGGTCTCAATACCCAGAAAGAACGAGGGCACACCCATATCACGAACTTTAAACTCAAGAGCCAACTTGTCAATAAGAGCAGTCACATGAGCCGGATCAGATCCCATAACCAAAATATCATCCACATAAACCAGAAAATATAAACGAGTATTGCCATGTGAATATATAAATAGAGAGACATCCGTCTTGGAAGGTGAGAAACCGGCAGAAACCAGAAAATCATGCAAACGAGTGAACCAAGCACGGGGAGCTTGCTTAAGCCCATATAAAGAACGTTGAAGGTGATAAACGTGCCCGGGCATCATTTTGTCTTCATAACCAGGGGGCTGGCGCATATAAACCGTCTCAGCGAGATTGCCATTTAGAAAAGCATTGTGTATGTCCAACTGTCGAATAGTCCATCCACGAGAAATAGCTAAGGATAAAAGAAGACGTACCATAGTCGGTTTAACAACGGGACTAAAGGTCTCAAAGAAATCCTCGCCGGCAATTTGATTGAATCCCTTGGCAACTAACCGAGCCTTGTAACGCTCAACTTACATCCAACTACATTCATACCTGATTTAAAGGGAACAAGCCTCCATGTATTGTTGTGCACCAAGGCATTAAATTCCAAATTCATTGCATCCCGTCATTCATGAAATTTAACCGCTTGAGTAAAACATGTAGGTTCAGGAGTAACAGCAGCAGCAGATAAAGCAACATGATTATGTGGTCCCGAACTTCTCGTATTCATTCCATGAGAGCGAACGGGTGAGGGCGCGTGATGAGACCGACCACGAGGCCGGCCTCTTGGCCGAGGAGCCGGCTGGTCCGTGACTGTCCGCTCGGACTCGGTCACGGGCTCGGCAGTAGCAAGCTGCTGGCGGTGGTGGTCAGAAGCGGCTATGGGCGCAGCAAGAGGGTCACGAGCCATGACAATAGTCGAATCACCACCAGAAACAATTGGTGCAACACCCCACGGCTCCGGGCGTGGTTTTGGAACCTGCGAATCCACAGAAGCAACAAAAGGAAAGACAACCTCATCGAATCGCATATGGTGACATATAAAAACCTTGTTAGTGTTAGTGTCTAAACAACGATAGCCACGAAAAGATGGAGGATATCCTAGAAAGACACAAGGGGATGACTGAAACTGTAGTTTGTTGCGATTATAGGGACGCAGATTTGGAAAGCATAAACACCCAAAAACACGCAGATATGAATAAGATGGAGGAGACCGATGCAAAAGATAATGAGGAGATTTATCAGATAAGACAGGAGTGGGCATTTTATTGATTAGATAAACCGCAGTTTCAAAAGCATAATCCCAAAAACGAGACGGAACAGAGGATTGAGCCATTAATGCTAGCCCCGTTTCAACAACATGCTTATGCTTACGTTCTACCCTGCCATTTTGTTCATGAGTATACGCACATGATTGCCTGTGACAAATACCTAAGGACGCAAGAGTGGAACCAAGCTTTTTATATTCTCCCCCTAAATCAGATTGAAAAGAAATAATCTTGCGAGAAAAGGAACGTTCAACTAGTGACCGAAACTTATCAAATATAGCATACAAATCAGATTTAGCACGCATTGGATAATACCACATATAACGAGTGTAATCATCCACAAACAACACAAAATATTTAAAGCCAGACGTAGAAAGTAATGGCGCAGGGCCCCAAATATCTGAATAAATTAATTCCAAAGGATGCGTACTAGTAGTTTCGACACGAGACAAAGGAAAACGAGAAGATTTTCCTAATTGACAAGAGGAACAGACATTGGGAAGATCACTAGAATTAAATGTACCAACAGACGAAGACGCTAAAATTTTACGTAGGACTCGAGAATGAGGATGCCCCAACCGCATGTGCCAAACGTAAGAGGACCGTGCCGCAACAAATGCAGCAGGGGAAGCAGAAGACGCAGGCCATGTGAAGAGAGCCCCAGACGCATGTCCCTTAAAAAGAACCTTCTTGGTTAAAATGTCTTTCACATAGAAACAAAGAGGGTGGAACTCAAAGAAAACATTATTGTCCTTTGCGAAACGCTGGACAGATAATAGAGAAGAAGAGAGACCAGGGACATGCAAAACATTATGTAACTTAAAAGACATAGAATCAGTGGCTAACGAAGCAGAATCAACATTAACAATAGGCAAACCTGTACCATTGCCGACTCGCAGAGTCTCCGGGCCATCATAACTTGTTGCAGAAGTCATCAAAGAAGAATCAGGCATTGCATGATTTGTAGCACCAGTGTCAGGGAACCACTGATGAGGACCGTTGGAATCACCATTATCACCAAAGACGGCCACATTAGCCTGAAAACCCGGAGCCCCTGAATAACGCCGAAAACAGTTGGCTCCCGTGTGACCAAAACGGTTATAAATTTGACACGGATCATCATAGCGCCAAAAACAATTGGCTCCCGTGTGACCAAAACGGTCACAAATTTGACACGGATCATCATAACGCCAAACACAATTGGCTCCCGTGTGGCCGAAACCGTTACAAATTTGACACGGATCATCAACGTCACGTCGTTGACCGGACCGCTTCTGATACGATGTATCTTGGTTTGATGCCATCGGCTACTGCTACGAAGTGAGGAACATGGATGTTGGAAAAGAAAACTCTGGCTAACTGATACCAGATGAGAATATAATTGTGTTGTATTCAATAATAATGTCTGAGAGTACAGTGAGCGAATATATAGAGATGCTAGATAGAATCCTAGTATAACACGAATAATATAGTCTTAATCTAATATGGATAATAGAGTCCTAATAGTCCTAATACACATATCAATATTGTGGGTTGTCATGGATATATGTAATAAAATATTTATTACCACCACGTTTTTACTAATTCAAAATCACATACATCACTATGAATTAGTTCAAGTAGTTTCATTTTCTTTTCAATCATTTTAAAAGAAATTCTTATTAGTTTTGCCTCAACATAGATTTCACATTTGTGCTTAATGTTGGTTTGGAATGCAGAAGCATGGACCAAGTTAATTAATCTACATACTTAATTAAAATTAACATGACCTAGTTTGTCATTCCACTTTTAGAGAAAACTCTCTAATTTCCTGACTCAAAAACGATTTGGAAGTCAAGCTTGTTCAATAATGAACCAGAAATCAAGTTCTTCCATAACTCTAAGCACTTACAAAACGTTATTATCATCAACTTTAATATGCAAACTTGAATACTTAAATATGGAGTTAATATCCAATATAGTCATCGACTATAGTGGTTTTACTCCATTTAGTCCTAAATGACTTTTTGCACTCAATTTAGTCCTCGACTTTGATGATTTTACACAATTTAGTCATTTTGTTAAAAATTCTGTTAGTTGACTGTTAGAAATATGGTCCTAATGGTAATGTATCATCCTTATCCCATTTGGGATGATTCCTTCTTCTCCTTATTAAGGAAGGGCTTAGGGAAGGAATGTTAGACAAATATTTATTTACTCCGTATTTATTCATTTAGGGTTGAAGTTGATTTGTGTACGAAGATTTGCGTTTCTGTGAAGATCTTAATAAAGGGAAGAAGAAAGAATCATCCAAAATGGGATGAAGAATGAGAAATTACCATTAGGAACCTATTTCTAACAGTCAAGTAACAGAATTTTTAACAAATGACTAAATTGTGTAAAATCATCAAAGTCGATGACTAAATTGAGCACAAAATGTCATTTAGGTCTAAATTGAGTAAAACCACTATAGTCGAGAACTATATTGGGTATTAACTCCTTAAATATGCAATCTTCAACAACTAAATATGCAAACCTGGTAAATTTTATAAAATCAATGTAAAAGTTAAATTTTAAATCCAAACCGTAAATGTTAGACCGTGAGTAGTAAAAAGTAAATCATTAAACCAAATAAAATCAAAATATTAGTCATAAACTCTAAAATCGAAGCCTAAGTGCAATGTACTCTCTTATTTTTGTAAGTGCAATCCTTTAATACTAAATGTGCAATATGTTAATACTCAATGTGCAAAATGTTAATACTAAATGTGCAAAACTAGAAAAGTCTACAAATTGCAGATTTTAGTATTCAAGTTTGCATAGTAAAAGTGGTCATAATTATGAAAATATCATTTTTTTTTTAAAATAAAGAAGCTAATTCATTAATCATAGGCTGAAACGTTTACAATAAAGATCGATGGAATGGTTAAACATTCCTTACAGTCAGACATAGAAACAACTTCCGTAGCAATGCTAAAAAAAACTTGATTCGCAGACTGTTTCACAAATTTGAACTGGATTCTTTGGAGGAACTTAAACCTTCTTTAATGATTTGGTCAAACGTACCCAAGACAGATAGTGGTGGAATAGTCTTGCACACCACATGAGTATCTATTTCCATTCTTCTATCCATTGACAATATCTCCATCGGGCTGAACTGCATATCATAGTTCAGAGGAGTCTTTTTTTCGTGGTCATGTTTGTCACCCAGGATGAGATTCACATACGTCATGACCAGTTATATCGTTTCACGCTTTATGAAAAAAGAACTCGCCAAGTAAACGAGAGGAAGTAACTCGTCAAAACAACGAGAGAAAAAACACAGAAACGACAAACAAATTAAAATTAAACCAGTAAAACAAAGTAAAGGGAAATAACCGTGCGAAGGCAGAGAATGAAAGAAAAAATGGTGAAGGCAGAGAAAACAATGAAGGCGGACGCTGTTTGCGGTGGAGATGGCGGTAGGGGAAAGACGATTGGACGCCGCCTCCGATCCACTTGTTTCACGGAGGCGGCGACCGTGTAGGAAGTTGAGTAGTCGAAAAGCAGAGACGAGAGAGAATTAGGGTTGGCCTCTCATATCATGTGTTTTTCTAATCTGATATGATCTATATGATTTTTTTCAGATGTAAGGTTGAGATGAGTTCTTAGTTTTCTCATAAGGACTTGTTTTCATTTGATCCTATAAATGAGAACAAGTCAAATGACAAAAACATCTCTGCTCAAAACAATAAATAATATGGAATATTTTTTTATATATAAAAATTTAAATTAATATAAAATAAACAAACATGAGGTAGCCAAGACTTTGTGGTCTAGTGGCACCAAAGTTGCACTCTCATATGGAAGGGTGTGCGTTTTCGCCTCAGTGGAGAACAGATACTACATTGTAACAGAGTCAGTAGCACTAAAAAACAAACAAACATGAGGTAGTTTTGGCATTTAATACATTTAGTTTACTCTGGCTAAAAAAAACAGTTTTGAGACTTGAGATGGAGAAATTCAGCTAAGATCCTACAAACTACAATGCTATGATATGATGTGGGTGCAACAGAATATTCAGCCAACTTCAATTCAATTCTTGGCTAATCCACACTCTCACACACACAAAAACAAACAAACAAACAAATAGAGCAACAAAACAGTAGTTGAGGCATTAGATGAAATTCAGGTGTTGATAGATGGATAGAGAAAAATAAGAGAAAATTAAAGAGATAATGATTATTCATTGCAGTGCAGAGCAGCTTTATATATTGCAACCAACAAACAAATTCCCACCACCAAAATCTCTAGAAACAAACTAACAAACTTTAAATGAATAAATAAAAATTATTTTCCCATGCAATGGCAGCAGCATCCATCAGATTTCTGAGAATGAATTGCCCGCTGAGACCATTTCAGCTCACCGCTATGCACATTCTCCGGGCCTTCCTATATATATATTTCCAAAAAGGGAAAGCAATAAGCTTAATTCATCCATTTTTCTTTAATTTGAGACAAAAAAAAAACACCAAAATAAACACTAGTTATATCTGCTCATACAACATACCTACATACTGCTATTCGTTCATCACTCTCTTCCTCCTAAAACCGCTTACGCCAAGTCTGGAAATAATAAATTCAGTAAAAAGAAGAGGCGAACGCACAACAGTTAGATAGCTAAGGAAATATGAGATAGAGAAATTAAAAAAGAAATAGATGTGAAAGAAAACATATCAGATCAGATGATTATCCATTGCAACCATCAGCCATAAAAAATTCAAGTAGTATGAAGTGCATGTTAACTGGTGAGAGATATATCAGAGGGATAGAAAGAGACCAAATTATTTTCGGAACGAACAAGGAGGGCATCATTTCCATAGTTGTTGTTTTGCTCTTCTTGAATCCACTTTGCAGAAGCCACAAGGGAATCCCAACATTCGCTTAATTGAATCAATGCTAGTGTGGTGATATCGGCAAAACCACGAGGAATTTCTTTCAACCAATAGCACTCACTAATCTCTAAACATTCGAGCATAGGAAAATGGTCACCCACAACATTCCAACGTTGCAAATTTGTTTTTTTAATTACCAACCTCTTCAATCGATGGAACCCTACATCAGATGTCGTCTCCCACTTTGGGCCTCTACAAGCATCTATCAATTTTAGAACCTCCAGATTAGGCAACATACTAATAGCGCTCAACTCACTCCAGCGCAGATTAGACTTCAACAAGCTGAGCTTCTTAAGATTTGGTAAACAAGTTGCCCATGGGATGCTACACATAACAAGGTTGACACCCTCCCACCTTCTGATGCTTAGTTTCTCAAGCTGCTCCAAGTGCACAAAATTATAAAACCAATCTTTCCTATAAACAGAGTATCCACCATCAACCCCCAATGTTTTTAAATTCGGAATCATTGTAAACAGATCCTTTGTACATAACTTAGAATCCAACCAAGATATATTCTCTAAGTTTCTATAAACAACTGACGGAGTTTCTAATGAACAAATACTTCCACTAATGCAAAAATTCCTTAATTGTGGCATTTTCCAAATTCCAAATGGCTCAAAGGAATATGATATAACATCATCCCCACTAACAATCAAACTTTGCATAGTCCAATGCTCAATGAGCTTTATCTCAGAAGGCTTATATACGGACAAAGCAATGTATCTCAAATTAACAAGATTTGCAAGCAAATGTAGGTCTATAACTTCACCCCAAAATCTACTTCTCAAGTCTACTACTCTTAGTAGTTTCAAGTGTGAAATTAGACATCCCACAACTTCACCCCAAGAACAGTAAAGATGATGATTAAAGTGAAAAGAATGAGGTTTGTGAAAGCACTCATCTTCAAACATGACTTTATTACTGAAAGATCTTGATGTATGACTTATCCAACGACAAGGTTTTTTATCTCCATTGACGTTCAAGAGATTTTCAAGTCTAGCTTCTCTCAAGCACAAATCTCGCAACAGATCATGGATCCTTATTCTCTTCATTTCCCCATTATAGCTTTGTTTGCTAACTATTACAAGACTTCTATCAACAAGATCTTGCAAGCATTCCATAGCCACTTTCTCCAAATTCACATGCTTCACAGTGCTCAAAAATCCCTCTGCTGCCCACAACCTAACCAACTTCTTCACAGAGATCTCATAGTCTTCTTCAAAAATTCCAAAATATAGAAAACATGCTTTTAAGTGGTGCGGTAATTGGTTGTAACTCAAATATAGTATTCTGGAACATGCATCACTAGAATCACCCATTACACTTTTTGCAACATTCTTCCACCTTTTCTCCTCCTCTTCTGTCTTGGAGAGAAGACTAGCTACTATAGTTATAGCTAGAGGTAATCCTTTACATTTCTTCACTATGTCTCTACCAATTTGCTCAAACACAGGAAGGAATTCAGTTTTATCAAAGACTTTGCAAAAAAGATTCCAACTTTCATCGGCATCTAAGAAAGGCATGTTAAGAGGAGAGTTACCTGAGCTAGCATATTCTGCCACCTCTCTTAGTCGAGAAGTCAATAGTATACGGCTTCCATTATTATCATCTGGAAAGCATCTTTGCACACTATCCCAAGCAGCAGTGCTCCATATATCATCCATCACTATCAAATATCTCTGTTCCTTCAAGTGTTTACGCAGGCGTTCAGCTAATTGGTCTTGGTTAGTGCTCTGTTTATTAGGTAATTGGACTTGCTCAGTGCTCTGTTTATGGAGTTCATCTCCTGATGCTGCAATAACACAACTAAGAAGACATCGGAGCATTTGTTCTATGTTATACTCTTGGGATACAGTAACCCATGCTAGCTTGTCGAAATGAGAAGTAATTGATGGATGTTCATAAACTCTGTGTGCTAAAGTGGTCTTGCCTATTCCTCCCATGCCAACAATTGAAACAACTTGTCTCCCCTTAGTTGTTTGTTGCGCGAGCAGCTGATCCAATATCTTCTCGAACAGCTTCTCGCATCCGACCATTCTACCGTCAAACTTTGAAACGTTTTGGAAATGTTACTCACAATAATTTTCTTGTGTACTAGATCATGCAGTGATGACCCTTTGACAAGCTGTAGTCCTCTTTGTTGGATCTGACCAAGGAGTGGAACATCAGTGAGTCTTTCGTTTTGTGATGAAGCCGCCTTTGCAATTAGCTGGTATTCAGTTTGAATCCTAATAAACTCATTGCTGCGATAATTAGTCTGTTTTTCTGCTTCTATGAAGATTTGATGAAGCCTGAGCAGGCAATCTATTATATGAAGAAGACTATCTTTTGCTAGATAAATGGTAGTCAACTCCATCTCAATCCTTTCTTCGGCTTTGAACCATACATCCCTCATCTCTGCCTCTAAATCTTTCATCGCTCCTGCATCATCATTGCCAATCTCAGATTCCTGAAGAACGTCCTGCAGCAAGAGAAGTTTTTTATGGAGAGAGAGCATCTTTTGTTTGACTTCTCTGAGCCGAGCAAGCTGCTGCTTTCCATAAAGCCTGGGGAGACAAGCCTTTATACCAAGACGCTTCGATGATGCTTCCAGCTCAATCTCTCTAATCTTAGCCTCAACAATTTGTTGCAGCAAGCCAAGACTTTCATTACCATCGCTGATCTGGTAATCAGTCAGTTATCCCAGCAAAAGAAATTAGGGAGTTCTGAGGCCTCAAGAAAACTCAGACCAGTTCTGTGTTATTTTCTATCATATTTTTTCTTCTTGTGACGATTAGTTCATAACATTGGTTCTATTGCCGGTGTCATGGGTGATCAACCTCCTAGCAACGCAATTTCTAGAGCTAAGTATGACGACTTGTCTGAAGCAATCATTAAATAAAATAATTTAGATCTCAAAAAAAATTTTAAAAATTGCACCCTCCACCCATTTATTTTGTCTGGTTCGGTTAAGCAGATTGAATTGAAATTATTTTCAATTTAATTTTCATAATATTAAGTTTAGCTACGGGACCTTTTATGGCGGAGGCTTATGCGTGCAAGGAAGCCCTATCTTGGCTACGAGAACGTGGGGTTATGGAGGTGGTACTTCGGACGGATTGTTTGAACTTATGTCACGCCCTTTCTACTTCAGCAGCGGAGTTTCACTCTTATGATGGTGTAGCTGTTTCAGCATGTCGGGACTTGATGAGTCTTTTACATTCTTGTTCTGTTATTTACATTCCCCGTACGTCAAATGTTTTAGCTCATTCGTTAGCTTAGGCAGCCTTATCTCAGGCAAACTCTATGCTGTGGGAGGATGTTCCTCCTGGGTTTGTTTCGGCTTTGGTTGATTAATTATAACAGCATTTACCCTTCAAAAAAAAAGTTTAGGGGCGGTTTCTGGTGCAAAGAATCTCTCAGGTAAAAGATGTGGTTAAATCTGAGTCATTGATCAAATCTAGATCAATTGCTCAAATCAATGAATTTTTTTTTTAAAAAAAGGCGTTTTTATAAACCCAGAATATGCTACTGGTGTTCATCTGATCTCTTCTCTTTTGTGTTACTTTTGCAATGTCTTTTAACTGATTGCTGAAACATTATTGGAAATGGATAGTGGTTTTGTTTTAAGACTAAAAAAAAAAAACAAACAACAAAAAAAATAGATGCAAAGCACATTAAGGAAGAAACCAACGCACCTTAAGAAGGAAAACAAAGCACCTTAATTAAGAAGGAAAACAATGCACCTTAAGAAGGAAAATCACGCACATAAAGCTTTAGACCGACACACCTTAAGAAGTAAAACAACGCACCTTAAGAAGGAAAAGCACGCACCTAAAGCTTTAGGCCGACACACCTTAAGTTTCAACAAATGACGCACCTTAGGCACATAGACCACGCACCTTGAGAAGGAAAACAACGCACCTTAAGTTTCAATAATTGACGCACTTTATAAGCACACAACACAGAAACCACGCATCTTAAGCACAAAAACCACGCGCCTTAAATTAGACCTAGATGCAAAAAGATCAAATTGCCGTCCCTTTTTTTTTTTTTTTTTATCTGTGTTCAATTTGGGCTGTTGATTTTGATTAGATCAAGGGCTGAGATTAAACCCATCTCCGCACATGAAGCCTATTACCGCATTTGATCTCTATTCTTAGTTTAGTGTGTGTGTGTGTATATATGTATATATGTATGTATATATATATATATATATATATATATATATATATATATATATATATATATATATATATATATATATATATATATATATATATATATATATATATATATACTGAAAGGTTCCCGTGCGGTGGATTAATGTGCATGAGATTTGTACTCAATGTGCGTGAGTGTTGTGCTTAATGTGCCTGAGATTTGTACTTAATGTGCGTGAATGTGTAAAATGCAGCAAAAAATATTGATGTCAGCTTCCTTCTTCCCTATCCCAGTAGCCATTTGCCCCCTCCCTGATGATGATGATGCGAAGGCGAGCTATGGTGGTTAAAAATTATGGGAATAATACAACAGAAATCCACACTTAGCTGCTGTGCAAATTTTACTGTGCGTGCGTCATTTATATAAACATTCAACTGAAGATAGCTGATAATCCAGAATCCATGGCCAAATTGAAGGAAGAAGTAACAAGAAGCTTGGGCGATAATGTGCGTGAGTATTGTGTTTATATAGGAAACCGTTCAGGTGAGAACCGGTTGCCTTGGAGAAAAATCAGAACCACTCACAGCCGTCCACGTGTCTAGATGATGATGATGATGATGATGATGATGATGGTGATGGTGATGGTGATGGTGATGGTGATGGTGATGGTGATGGTGATGGTGATGATGATGATGGTGGTGATGGTGATGGTGATGGTGATGGTGATGGTGATGGTGATGGTGATGGTGATGGTGATGGTGATGGTGATGGTGATGGTGATGGTGATGGTGATGGTGATGGTGATGGTGATGGTGATGGTGATGGTGATGGTGATGGTGATGATGATGATGATGATGATGATGATGATGATGATGATTATTATTGTTATTGTTATTATTATTGTTGTTATTATTGTTGTTATTATTGTTATTATTATTATTATTATTATTATTATTATTATTATTATTATTATTATTGTTATTATTATTATTATTATTATTATTATTATTATTATTATTATTATTATTATTATTATTATTATTATATAACAAATAACAACACTATTATCGCTAAGCACCTTGTGTTCAGATGGCATGTAGTGACATTTCTCATGTGGAGGTAATGAAATCAAACCTCAGTGGAGGCATTGTTGACTCTTTGTGTTTCATTAGGTTGAGAAAGTATGTTTGAACAGATATTATAAAAAACATACACCACCACTTATTATTATTGTTGTTGTTTTGAATTACATGACTTTGATGAGTTATTTTGATATCTTATTAGTTATTTTTTTATTATATTTAAAATTGTTATTATATTATTATTATTATTATATATTATTATACATGTTGTAATATTCTAAATAAAATAATTAAAATATTTAATTATACAATTCTACTCATTTCAGAAAATGAACCAAACACACTAAACTTTAAAAGTTTGGAGGTATTCAATCATGACTTTCATAGAGTTTTAAAGACTTTTATAAACTTTAAAAGTTTGGAGGTATTCAATTAAAACTTTTAGAGAGTCTTTAAAAGTCAGACGGTATTCAATCAAGATTTTTAAAGAGTCTTTAAAAGTCGTGTGGTATTCGATTAAGACTTTTAAAGAGTCTTTAAAAGTCATGTGGTATTCAAAAAGTTATAAACTTTTGTAGACTTTTTAATTTTAGGACTTTTGTAGACTTTTCATTCTCAAATATAAATAGTTGAAATCCAACCATCAACCCCAAGATTTCAAAATTTTATTTCTAACAACTTTGAATGTTTTCTCTCTCTATTTAAACTCCATTTTCTCCCTATTTAAACTTTATAAACCTATCTAAATTCAATAAAATTATTCTTTTTCTTCATTATCCTATATTTTCCTCATACCTAAACTCTACCGATTTTTCTCTCTCTCCTAAACTTTACAATCTTCCTCTAAAAATTCGAAATAATATTATTTTTACTTCATTATTGCTTGCTTATATTGATTTTTATTTTTTCTATGAATTTTTATCCCTAACTTTCTCTAATTCTTCCTAAATACATGAACAAAGCAAATTTTTCATCGTCAAATTTTAGTATATGTTTCATAATATTCATATAAATACTTATATATTTTGATTTTTATTCTTTTTATTTTTATATTCATAATATATATTTTTATTTTCTTTAACAACAAGTTACTACGAATAGCAAACTACTGTTCGCAACAATAATTTGGGTTGCAAACAGTAGCACCTTGTTGTTGTTCGCAATGTCAAATTGCTATTGCAAATAATAGTTCTTTGCGTGATGCCTAACAATATATAAAAAATTACTAATATTAGATTTTTATTTTTTTATTTTATGAAACATGTAATTATATTTTTAAATATTTTATTTGATCGATTCTTTTATTATAAATTTTATTGTTCAATATTGTTAGGAATTTCTAATGAAACAGTTTTTTTTTTTTTTTTTTTTTTTTTTTTTTTTTTTTTTTTGTTTTGTTTTGTTGATGTTTATTAATAATATATATAAGTAATTGGCATATAGTCTCAGCATACTATGGATAAAATTAATACTGTTGAGAATGTTATGTGGGTGAACAACTATATAATAAGAAGAATTTTATGATATATTATAAATGTTTTGTAAGAAAATTATAAATGATAAGAATCAAAATCGTTGAAAGTTTGTAAGAATGTATTCAATTTAGAACTTCAATAACTTTTGTAGACTTTTTAAAATAAAAAGTTGATAAAAGTCTATGAATATTTTTTATATAAACTTTTATAGAGTCTTATAAAGTTTTAAAGAGTTTTGAACGACTCTATAAAAGTCAATCAAAGTTTATTAAAATCAATCATTTTAAAAGTCTTTAAAACTCTACAAAAGTCATGATTGAATACACCCCCATAAGACAGTTTTTCAGAATGCAACCAAACACTGGAAAGGGATATGACTCATTTTCCAGAAGTCATTTTCCTGCTTTACAAACGGACCCTTAATGTGAATATAAAATCACACACAATAGAAATTTAATTAAGATGAATACCTTTAAATCAAAGAGTTCAATAGTTCCTTCTCCTAGCCATGATGATGGGGGATCAGAATCTTCAATAACCTACCAGTACTGGTGCCTCACTAGAGATTTGGCAGTATTGATGAATCCTTTCATAGAAATAATTTTTGTTTTCAAGCTTGCAAAAGCTAAGATCTTCTTCATTTTAAATTGATAGATCTTGATCATTATGCATTATTCTTAAATATGTAAAGTTAATTTTAATTAATTTAATAATATTATATTTAAATGTGAGATATTTACGCATTAACATTAGATTTTTTCAAACTCAGCAAAGGTAAGTTAGTTCAATTAGTTGCTCTTTTTTTTTTTTTATATTAGATTGTCTTCAATTATGCTATTAACGTCAACATCCTGTCTGCTAAAGGTGTTAACTCCTAGTAGTGTAATTCATACGCAAAGTCTTCAAATCTACAAATCAATTCATCAATTGAATACTCAACTTTGAGATTCGTATTCAGATCAATTTCTTATAAAATGATAGTTGTAAGTTGATCTTCAATCAAAATTGCTATCAGTTGTTCATCTCTCTTGAAATATTTCTGTTTCACATTCTCTCTTTTGATTTCTTTAAATCTCTTGGCGTCTGTTACTTCAGCTTCTTGAACAGAGAATATATAGAGAGTTTTGAATCAGTTAGAAAAATCTAACTAATTTGATTCCTTTCTTGAGATTGAATCCGGACGCTTCATTTCTCCTTTGACTTTGATTAAATCCAGCGTTCTGATTTAATTTGTTCCTTTCAACATATTGAGTCAATATATAACCGCTCATTGTAATGTAGATCCTGTTGGAAACATTCAAAGCTAAGCTAGCTAATTTCTTGGATCATGGGATACACGTGTCACACCTCCCTTCTCTTATGCCTTTCCATGGCTAAAACCGTAGTAGGCTGTTAGATTATTCACTATAAAAACAACATTTTACAATGAGAAGAGACACACCAAAAAGATGAATACAACTTAATTCTTTCATCTTGTATTCTCTTGGTCTGAGCACTGAGTCAGGTTCATCTATGCTATAGTTGGTGCGAATTAAGTGTAGTTAGTCTGTGTAGCCTGTTGAAAGTGTGCCAGGGTTCTGACTGCACCATTACTGGCAAATAATGGTTTTAAGGTAGTGTTATTATAACACGACACAGATTTCCTTTTAGCCATACACCAGTTGTGTCCGTGTTTCTTAAAAGGTTTAATTTTCAGCCCGCGCGTTGACGTTGTGAATATTATCCAACAATTAAAAGCGTTAATTTAGCAACAGTCAACTACTCGAATCATGGAGCAGATTATAATAATTTTCTGATGACATGATGGTGTAGCAACAACAGAGATTAGCAGTGGAAAGCAACAACTTCATATAGAACAATACTGGTGAAGCACTTTGCTTCGGCTCATGTGTAACCTTTAAGCAAGGGAGTACAACAGAAATAATTATTGGGTTCATATCGGAGCTTTGACCATACTCCGATGAGGTTTGTCTCATCATATTTCAATATGACACATGATATTTATATTATAATAGACTATCATATGGAAATGATTATTTTGAGCACAAGTAGTCATATATTATTGGGCATTGACCTTATTCCCTTCAAACTATCATAATGGCATAATTCAGAAGATGGTTTGCCTATATCTTTGCATCCATTTGATTATTATGTTTTGAGAGCATTTGAAACGTGAAATATATATTGTGACAAACATTTTAGAAATCACCATTTCATATTTTATTTGGTGAGTGCTTTGAATATTATAGAGAAAATTAACAGCGGTGTACACAATGATAAGTGAATTATTATTATTATTATTCACATATATGAGCTTTATGATTTTGTTGTGTTAGAAGTGTTGATTTAACACCACTGCTAAGTGATTAAATCATCAATCTGATTTAAAGCTTATAAATTGTGTACTTATGCACATATCGAATTTATAACATTATGTGTTATATTGTGGATATGTTACAAACACTGTACTATTTAATGAGACACATATATGTTGTATAGTCACTTAATCTTAAATATTTGAATTATGTACCGAGACTAAATTCTAAGGCTTTACTCACATTGTGCTGATAGCATGGAAAAGTCATCCTTCTTGAATACTCTGTATAGGAAGATGGTTTTTAATTAAACTTCGGTTTCACCACTCGATCTGGGAGTTTTTAAGAAGTAGGGTGTTGATCATGCAAGCTAGTTAGAGCGCCACTTGATCTTCACCTGAAATGAGGTTGACTTTCATATGTTGTTAAACAATTAAAGCCTTGCAATAAAAATTGTTGAAGTACTGCAACAGTAAGATTGATCTGCATCACATGAATGCTTTATATGAGTTTTAAATTTCCTCAAGTGAAGGAAAAGTTGTGCAAGTGGAATAACTTTGAGTATTAAAGTTATACTTGTTGAATTCACTGTATTGAAATATATGTCCTAATAAATGTCAGTTTGAACATATTCTTTAGGTATGAGATTAACTTCTTTTATGAATATTATGTGAAATTTGTGATTATGTTGTCCAACATGAAGTAGCATATAGACAACATTATCTCTATGGCTTACAAACAATGAGCATTTATATATACTATTTAAATTCTTGGTTGAGTCATCTTGAAAGACCTATAATTCCTGTTTAAAGGATAATTATGATGGGTCAAGATAACCAAGTTTGTTGAAAAAATATTCAATTGAGTATGTATCAGGTAAAGTGCGAAGCTACTACAATGCTTCACAAAGCAAATTTGCAAAACTTAGTTTACAAAGGAGCTAATATTGGGCACCAAAGATCAATTTGGGTAAGAGATCAAATACTTTTGAGAAAAATATTTGTTAAGTGTTGCATTGTGGGGGGAGGGGGAGGGGGGGGGGGGTGGTTAATTAACTCCTGATATATTTCTTTCTTAAAAGTCTCAACGTGGTACCAACAACAATGTTAAAAGAGATTATTTAATGTTGAACATGAAAATTTTAAGTGAATTATTTATGAGTAAATAAAGTACTCGTCGTAAGTTTGATCAAGATGATCAACTTACTTTAATAGAAATGACTAATTATGAGGTTAGTCGTTGAACTATTGGAATGGCTTAAAGCCCAAGAGGTGATGAATTCGTGGTAGGTCCCACTTCTGTGGTCAAACGAAGCCATGAAAAGAATGACAAAGTAGTACACTAATTGATCATTCCTACAATGTGTGTACTTGTGAGGTTGAGCTACAGCTCTTAATGAATTCATAACCCTATGAGAAGGGTGGTTTTGTTGAGACAGGCCTAATGAATTCACCGCATAATGCTTAAGTACAAAAGTGCTCTTAATGATTTATATACTCAATTGGGGAGTCTATTTTGAGGTAGACATAACGAGATTCCTGACTAGAGTGAAAAAGGGTTAACCGCCTCAGTCGATATACACACAACCCAAATGATACTCACTGGTGTGCACTGAGACGAGTGCTTCGGTACCTGAGAGGTGCCATAGACTGGGGACTAGATGATGTAGGGTTCCCAGCAGTGATAGAAGGGTTTTGTGATGCAAACTAGGTGAATGACATCTTGGATTTCAGTTCAACAAGTGGATATGTGTTCCTCATGTGTAGGGCAACTGTATCGTGGAAGTCAACGAAACAGTCATGCATTGCTAGATCAACTATGGAAGCAGAGTTCATAGAGCTTGATCTAGCCAACCAAGATGCTGAGTGGCTAAGAAATTTATTGGCAGACGTACCATTGTGGGGGTGTCCAACACCTGCCGTGCCCATACACTATGATCCCCAAACCGCTATTTGTGTGGCAAATGGCTAAAGATTGATCACAATGGAGTTTGTGAGTTCTGAGAAATCCTCTCACAAAAGGTCTAAACAGAAAAACCATCCTTGAAATATCAAGGGAGATGGGGTTAATACCAGTGAGGTAAGGAATTTATAACGGATACCACTTTTATGGTCAAACGAAATCGTGAAAAGACTTACAACTGATTTATGTCTTTAACTACACTATATATAATCCTTTAAAGGAGGTCTATATTAAGATAAACTTGACAGAGTTAAAAGTCTATATTGAAATAGACTTGACAGACATAAAAAGTCTATAATGCGATTAGACTTGCCAGAGTTAAGAGTCCATATTGAGATAGACTCTGACAGGGTAGAAGTCTATATAGAGATAGACATAACAGACTTGAATACTAAGAGTATTCATAAGAAGTCAAAAAGTTTGACTTTCGCAGAACCTGCTTTTTAGAGTTGGTGTGTGCATTAGAGTTCAAAATTTCTCTAACTGGTGAGTTCAAGATTCATATCACTCTCGGGAGGAAATTACTCAGTGCCACTACGTGTCAGTTCAAGTTCTCAAAACACTGACATTAAGATCAACTCATTTCTATTGCTCAGACATTATCCTTTCTAGCTTTCTACTTTGAATGTGTGGGGGATTTTTGGATACATTCAAAGTTAAGCTAGCTAATTTCTTGGATTTTGAGATACAAATGTCATACCTCCCTTCTCCTACGCCTTTCCATGGCTAAAACCGTAGTAGGCTGTTGGATTATTCACTATAAAAATAACATTCTACATTGAGAAGAGACACACCAAAAAGATGAATACAACTTCATTCTTTCATCTTGTATTCTCTTGGTCTGAGCATTGAGTCAGGTTCACCTGTGCTATAGTTGGTGCGAACTAAGCGTAGTTAGTCTGTGTAGCCTGTCGAAAGCGTGCCAGAGTTCTGACTGCATCGTTACCGGGAAAATAACGCTTTTAAGGTAGTGTTTTTATAACACGGCACATACTTCCTTTCAGCCATACACCCATTGTGTTCGTGTTTCTTAAAAGGTTTCCAGCCCGCGTGTTGACGTTGCGAATATTATCCAACAGATCCTTCACAGTGTGAGCGACTCCTAAGGAAGTTCGTCCATCAGCTGAATTAATCTACTTTACCTATACATGGACTCTATTAGCTCTTCTAAGTTGTCATAATAACTAACCCAATTACAACACGTACAGTTCGATACCAACAACGACAATCCAAGCCATGTGACACTCACAATTTGCTTTACAACAGATTTACATCATCTCGAGTGTGTTAGGAGCATTGATGTGTCAATTTTCTAAGATATAATGGATACCGAGTATATCTGAGAACTCAAATATATCAATTTCAGAACTTTTAAGAAAGGAGCACTTTGTAATTTAGATATATGAATTGGCTACCCAGCATTCTTTTAATCATTGGATAAAGTAAAAATAAGCCATTGAACTATTTGGAAAACAACAATTAAACCATCGAACTTGATGGGCGTAGTATATTTGCAAACAAATAATTCTCGGAGTACGAGTTATCGATCCACAGGGAAGTGGTTGTATCAAGCACTAGTTACTAACTTATTCATTAGAGCTAATCCTAACAATTACTTAGATGATTGATTGGCATAAAATAAAAAAAAAAAAAACAGAGGTTCAGGATTTTGAAAACAATAAGAGAGAAGATGAGATTCATGGAATTTAAGTATTTAATCACCTAGTGCCAAATCTTAAGGATCGTATTAAAACCTGTGTTTAATAAGTGTGGGGATGCAAGGTGGTATAGAGCTACTCTCGTAGTCACTAACACTAGTGAATTTCCACTCCCGTGGCTTAAACACCCAATAAAACAAGATCAAGCATCATAAATTCCTAACTACTACCATCTCTCGATGCGCAATAATCAAGAATTAAACCGCCCTAATAAATTCCCCTTTCCCAAGGTCCAACCATTAGGTGCAATCCTGTGTGCCCTAATTTATGCCCGAACTCCCATTGGTGACACAAACATGGCTATGAAGCTAGTAACCATGACCATTAATTACAAGCATCAAACAATATTATCGCGATTGCAACACAAGTATTAAACTCAAATAATAATATATTAAAGAAACTGAGAGCTCAGGCACATAGGTTCATAAACACTTTTACCCAAGAATCTCTAAAGAATTTAGCCAAGCACGGTATAGAGTTTATAGAACTGAATGAATTAACCACTGCAAACTCAGGCAGCTATAAATAGTTTACAGAGGAGGAAAGATAGTAGGAAGTTACGACAACTAACCTATCATACACCTATTCAACATGAGCTAAAATATAACAAAACATAGATAACAAAAGTGAGCCTCATATATCCTTAATACGCCCCCGCAAGATTGAGGACCCATCAGAGACTCCAATCTTGGACCGAAACCGAAGAAACACGGCCTTGCCCAACGGTTTGGTAAGGAAGTCAGCAAGCTGAGCAGACGAAGGGATATGCCGAACCACCAGTGAGCCATTAACTACTAAGTCACGGACAAAGAAGTAATCAAGCGCTAGATGCTTCATACGGGAATGGAACACGGGGTTCTTGCACACGTATGTTGCACTAAGATTGTCACAGAACAGGACCGGAGATTCCATCAGTTGCAACCGGAGCTCACAAAGAAAATTTTTAATCCACAGGACTTCAGCAGCAGCATTCGCCAGGGCTCGGTATTCAGACTCCATGGATGGCCGCGACATAGATTTCTGGCGAGCAGACTTCCAAGAAATGAGATTGGAACCAAGATATACTAAGTACGCAGTAGTGGAACGGACATCAGTGGTGTAGCCTCCCCAATCAGCATCTGTATACACATTTAGCATAAGTGGCTGCCCGGTACGAAGGAACAAACCATGACAAACTGTTCCCTTTAGATAACGCAGCAACTGTCTAGCAGCCTGCCAGTGCAACAAGCCAAGGAGGGGCCGAAACTGAGTGACATCAACTGGTACTACACCAGATTGCGTAGGAAGCAGTTTGTCCGAGGTAGCCAGCGGTGTTGAAACAGCCTTTGCACCATCCATCTTGAACCGGACCAGAATATCCGTGATATACTGACTCTGAGACAGGAACACACCACCAGGTGTTGGAACCACCTCAATACCCAGGAAATGATGCAAGGGACCAAGATCCTTAAGAGCAAACTGAGCAGACAACATGCCAACAAATTGATCAAGACATGCAACATTGTTTCCTGTTAGTATAATATCATCGACATACACCAGGAAATAAACAATAATATCATTAGCAGAATAAACAAACAAAGACGCATCTGCCTGTGACTTCAAAAACCCACAACGCAACAAGAACTGAGAAAGTTCCAAGTACCAAGCCCTGGGAGCCTGCTTAAGACCATATAAGGCTTTGGTCAGACGAAGGGAAGAGTAGTTGGTCGGCCAACGAGCATCATGGGAAGCCTCCAGTTTACTCTTCCGCAACAAGCAGTGAAGAATATTACGGAGTATATCCTAGACAAGAGGATGCAAGGGTGGCCAACAAGGGAAGCACTTGGTACTCACCAAATTAAGTACGCACCTGATGGTATCATCGAAGACCAATTGGCGGGTCGGTGGATTAGCATATCAATAGCATCACTAGTACAAAAAGGATCAAAAAAATCTAGAAATTTGCATCCAAAGTTTAAATATCGGACGCGTAAAGTGGGAGCGATGACATTTTTATAATTAAAATGCCACTATATAATTTTATTTTATTTTTATATAAAAAACAATATGCGTTTGAAGTTTGGAAACTCCGAACGCATATTGTGGGGCTGCATATGTAAAGGAACTATATGCGTCCAAAGTTTCCAAACTTCGGACGCATATAGTTAGAGTTTCCTGAACAACAAAAAAAAAAAAAAATCCAGCCCGCGTCGTCTTCCCGAAACCTCCAAACAAGCCCGTGTCATCGTCTTCATTCCCAAACACAACCGCTCTCCGTCGTCGTCGTCGTCGTCCCTTGTCCAATACTCCGCCGCCGCAGCTCGTCCCATCTCCAATCGCCGCCGCTCTCCCCCTCGTCGTCGCTCGCCGCCCCACCCGCCATCACTGTTCGCTTGTTCGCTTGTCGTCGTCCCTTGTTTAATTAAATTTTATTTATTTATAATATACTTTAGAAATTATCTTATTTATTTTAATTTAGATTAATGGTGTGTTATTGTACATGTTAGTTATTGTTGTGATAAAATTGTTCAATAAAAAATGTGTATTATGTTTAGATTAATTTTCTGTTATTGTGTATGCATGTTAGTCATTTTTGTAAAAAATTTGTGCATTATGTATATATATATATATATATATATATATATATATATATATATATATATATATACTTCTTATTGTGTATTATGTATAACTTGTCATTGTGTGATATTAGGTAGTAAATTATTTAATTAGTTTTAGGTAGTATTTTAAATTTTAAATTATTTAGTTAAAGCTTGAACTTGAGCCTTTAATTATAAGTTATAACTAAGTAAACTAACCCATTTATCATATCCTAAATGTTGTGCGACAATATATAGGAGATATGGATTGGAGTTGGATGTATAAGAAACGCAATACACTTGAATATGTTCATGGGGTTCAAGAATTTATAAAAATTGCCGAGGAATATGCAAGTAAAATTGGTGAAAATTATATAGTGTGCCCTTGTTATGATTGTAGAAATCTAAAAATGTTTCGTAGTTCTGAACAAATTAAGAGTAATTTGATACGTCGTGGTTTTAAGTAGGGATATGACTGTTGGATATGGCATGGTGAAATTGTACCTACTAGTGTGAGTACAGATCAAAGTTAATGTAGAGAAAATGTAGAGTAAGATCAAAGTAATGAAGATAATGTTGGAAATGATGGAGACAATCGCCGGCTAGATTAATTGATGCGTGATATGCAAGGGGATTTGAATGAAATGCCTTAAGAATTTGCTAGTTTTTTTTAGAATTCTGGAAAACCTTCATTTTCTAGATGTAGTAAATTTACAAAGTTATTAGCAGTGCTTAAATTCTATAACTTAAAAGAAAAAAAAAAAGGTGGAGTGATAAGAGATTCACGGTGTTATTACAACTTTTAAAGGACATGTTTCCTGATGATAATGAACTTCCTTGTTCAACTTATGAGGCAAAGAAAATGCTATGTCTGTTGGCGTGGAGATTGAAAGGATCCATGCATGTCCAAACGATTGTATTTTGTATTGGAAACAATATAAAGACTTGCATGTGTGTTCGAAGTGTGGAGCATCGCGTTATAAACATAAAGGGCTCGATGATGCATGTAAACGAGATGTGTTTGGTAAACTGGAGAGCATAAATCGTGGAAAATTAGCTGGGTTTTTTCAGTTAGTGATATTCAAGAGATCGTGGAGAAGAAAACGTATGAGAAGGTGGTTGAAAAGATTAGAAAACAAACAATGAAAGAGATTCAATCTAAGTTTGAAACGATGCAATCTCAGCTGGAATATTTGATGAAGAACGCACAAACAAGTCCAAAGGTTGGCACACCAACTCAGAGCAGTTATCATCTTTAATATTTTGTTCAATTTGAATATCTTCTACTTGTTATTAAGCCTTTTAATTTTTGATTCGTAGGAAAATCCAAAATAAACAAATATGATGACTTTTGAAAGTAGTGATCAATCTCGTACAGAATTACGACCACCTCTTGTTGATGACACTAGTGCAGAAACAATCATACGCCTCCAAGCAAATGTACAATACGCGTCCAAAGTTGCTTGGACGCATATGTAGGAGACAAGGATTGTATGAACAATATGCGTCCAAAGTAATCTTGGATGCACATAGTTACTATATACGTCCAAAGTTGTTCAACTTTGGACGCATATAGTAATTTTTTTTAAACACTATATGCGTCCGAAGTAAGCAAACCTCTGACGCATATAGT